CTTCTTCTTCTACCCGCGCGCTCTTGTCGACGCTGCGGGAGCTATCTTGTTCTTAGTTCCTGGCGTCCTCCGCTGCTTGACGGGCCTCCGCTGCTTGGCGGGCCTCATCTTCGCGCCTGGTAGCCATCTTGACCCTGCTCTCGATCGCCGCAAAGTGATACTCCTAACCCAAGCTCGACCGCGAACCTCGTATACGAAATGTGTCATAGGCTAGCGNTTGAGCTCGTCATTCCATCACGGCATCAAGTCACGCATAACGCTCTAACACCCAAAACGAATCTCCATGAATGTCCACCAATCTACCACACTCCCAAGGAAAACATAAAGAAACTTCTTGTTCCTCCGTAGTTCGTCACTACAATACCAGCATATGTATACGCAATATACCACCCGCATGCTATGCTACGAGTATATCGAATACCCCCTCCGCCTGAGAATATCCGTTGGCAGCTGGGTCATAGACCACCGCTGCAGCAGGTGTGTCCAGTACCTACGGGTCATACACAACGCGTGCATCCTTCAGCGTCGGCACCGGCGCGTCTTGCACCAGCGTGTCACCAGCAGCGCGCTCCTCTGGCTGCGCCGCAGCAGGCGCATCCTGCACCTGCACGTCTTTTCCGAAAGAGATGGCGTAGTCCTCCAGCACATCGCCTTCAGTCTCCACCCGCGTGAACCATGCCTGAGTGGTGGAGTCTTGAGTGTGGTGAGTATCAGCCTGTTCAGTGGCTTCCTCCGCCTCGTGCCTCAGGCGGAGCGGGCAGTTGTGCCACCCGTGCTCTGTCGAATTATGACAGTAGCGGCAGCGCCCTTTTCGGTTCCGACCGGTGTCCTGGCCCTTACCTCGGCCACCGGAGGCGTTGTTGCCGCGATAATTCCCGCGAGCACCTTGCGCATTTCCCGCGCTGCCGCCTCCAGCGTTGCCGGCCGATCCGCTGTCCGCCGCCGCTGCTGTAGTTCCCATTCGACGAGCCGTTCGTCGAACCGTTTGTAGTTCTGCCACCATCTCCTCGGCGACCACCACGACCACCACGGCCGCCGTGTTTGCGGAAGCCACGTGCCCCTCCGTGCGTGACAGTGTTCAACGCACGGCCGTGGCTGCCCGACCCATCG